CTGCGGATGAGGAGGAGGAGGAGAGCTGAGGAAGCAGCTCCCACGTGGAGGAGGAGGAGAGGCTGTGAAGGGAGAGCAGCCTCTGCCTCATCTCCTGCCTGAGTCACTTCACTCTGTCCCACCGTAGCCGATGTCCTTGGTCTTGTCCCGTGTCCCGTCCCTGCGGAGGCAGCACCCGCGAGGGGGCTGTGCTGGTGTCTGTATTTGTCCCCCCCCCTCCCCTGTTTTTAATTTTTGTTTTGGTTTTTTTTTCCCCTCCTACCTAATTTCTTGTGATTTCAACCGACATGAAATGAATATAAAGGGTTTTCTAATGAAAAACAGAAGGAACCCCAGTGTCTCTTCCTTGAGTTGTCAAGTTGTCCTCGCCTCTGGCTGGGGCAAGGGGAGAACCTTAACCCCCTGCCCAGGGCTGGAGAACACCCCGTGGGTCCCCAAATTCCCTCTGACCAGGGTCAGGCACTCAGGGGCTGCTCCAAGCCCCTTTCCCCACCATCACAATCCTCTCTCCATCCGGAGGCAGCTGCTGGAATTGGATCCCTCTGCCCCAAGGGTGGCAGCAGGGCTGGGCACCGACTCCTTGGGGTAAAATAAGGGTAAAAAGGGTGTGTGCCAGGGAGGGACTGAGCCTGGCACCATCCTGCCCGTGCCGGGCAGCAGCTCAGTGGTTTTGCTGTGTTGCAAGGCTCCAGGGCTTTTGTCCGTGTCCAATAAAGAGCTCCCGGCCCCGCCCGGCGCCGCCTGCCCTTTGTGCCCGAGCCCCGGGGGAGGATGCCCCGATCCCCCTCCCCTGCAGGCTGCAGTAACTCTGCCCTGGGGACACTCGGCTTTGGCTTTTTCCAGGACTGATTTCACACTCGCTCCGTAAACAAGACCTAAATAAAGCCCAAACCATCCCCAGTGCCTCTTGCCCAACTGCTGGAAGTGGGACGTCCCCTCCAGGACCCCGCTCCTGATCCCGCTGCCAGCTCCTCTCCTCCAGGGGCAGGGACAGGCTGGGGAATGGGGGCTCAGGACATGGGGGTCCCCAGCTCTTGGGGAGGGGGTTGTTCCTCCAGAGCCCAATTCCTCCCTCCCACACCCCCAAAGAAACCTCAGTCGAGTGCAAAACTAACCAGAGTTTATTGCTTCTTGTGCTGTTGTGACCCTACAAGGGTGAGAGTCTGAAGGCACCGAGGACACGGGGGACCCCCAAGAGGCACTCGGGGCAGCCAAGGCACACAACTGCAGGTCCCCAGCAAGGGGACAAGTGACAGAGCTGGGGCAGACAGGAGGGTCCCCACAGAGACAGGCACAAGGTGAGGGGTGTGTAGCAAAGACTCCTAAGGAGGGGTTTTAGGGAGGGAAGCATTCCAGAATCGCTACTCCGCCTCCGGCTCCACCGGGCGCTTGCCCGAGGGGGCGAAGGGTCCCACCAGCCACGTCAGGGGGGTGTTGAAGGCCACTTGTTCCACCAGCTCGTCCATCAGCAGCCGGGCTTGGGCGGCGTGGTCGCGGGCCCGGGCCAGCACGGGGCCCGACACGTCCTGCAGGGAGCGGACCGAGCCCAGCGCCGCCCGCAGCCCCTCCACGTTGTGCCGGACCTGCCCCGCCTTGTCCTGCACGGCGGCGGGGAGGCCCTGCAGGCTGCACACCAGCGGCTGGCAGGAGCTCTGCAGCTGCTGGCTCAGGCCCTGCAGCATGCTCACCGTGCCCGACTCCACCGCCTGCGGGGGGACACGGGGGGTCAGGCCTGGGGGACACCTTGGTCACCCTGGGCACCCCCTGCCCCGCTCCTACCTCCGGTGGCACCTGGTCCTTGCCACCACCTGGCTGCTTCTTGCTCCACTCCAGCCACAGCTGCTGCAGCTTCTCCTGCCCTCCCTGCAGCTTCTGGTCCACGCCTTGCTTCAGGGTCTCCGCCTGGCAGAGGGGCACAGCCCGGCTGGGTGGGGGCACCATGGGGGCACACCCCGGGGTGGCACAGGGGGCGCGGGGCTGGGTCTTACCAGGTCGAGGGTGCTCTGGAGCTGGGCCAGCAGGTCCTGGCAGCTGTGGCGGGCGCTCTGCAGTTTGCTCAGGGAGTGCTGGAGCGCTCGCTGCCGCACCTTGCTGGACAGGGAGCCCAGGCGCACGAAGTAGCTCTGCTGCTGCCGCTGCTGCTCCGGCTCGAAGCCCTCCACGGCCGTGGCCAGCTGGGCTGTGGGACAGGAGCTGCTCAGGGGGTGCCAGCTGCACCATCAGCACCCCTCAGAGCCTCCCCTGCTCTGCCCACCCTGTCTGAGGGTTGGGATCAGCTGCTCACCCAGCTCCCCATCTGTCATGGGCAGGTAATGGTCCACCAGCTCCTCCGACTTGCCCAGCATGGAGTCCACCCTGCTGGCCACCATCTGGCCCACGGTGCTGACACCGCTGCTGACCGCTGACCTGGTCATCTCCACGCCACCCTGCACTGCTCCTTTGGTCATGTCCATCACACCGGTCACTCGGCTGGCCACCGCGTCCTTGGCCCCGGTCACGGTGCTGGACACTGCATCCTTGGCTCCAGCCACTGCATCCCTGGCCCCAGACACTGTGCTGGACACTGCATCCTTGGCTCCGGCCATGGTGTTGGACACTGCATCCCTGGCCCCGGCCACGGTGCTGGTCAGCACATCCCTGGCCCCCGTCACCGTGGAGGTCACCAGCAGTTTGGTGTCTGAGATGATCTGGGCAGACACACAAAGCTCTGTTAAGCACTGGGGGGGCCCAGGTGTGCTGCCCAGCCCTGCCCAGCCCAGCCCAGCCCACCCTGGTACCTTCTGGGGGGGCTGCTGCAGGATGGGCAGCTTCTCCTCCAGCTTGTCCAGCCCCTTGCAGGCAAATTCATTGGCGGAAGAAACTGGAATTGGAAAAGGAGGTGGGTTTAGCACCCTGCTGCCCTGCAGGAGTACTGCCAGGCCCAATTTTCCACCACCCCAAAACTCAGGGCGTGCTGCCCCCACATCTTTTCTTCCAGCTTCTCCACCCGTTTACCCCTCAGCCACACAAACCAGAGACACAAAACCACGTCCTGCCTCTCCTGGTTCCTCACGAGAGCTCGGTGAGAGCCACTTTTGGGGTCCCCCATCCCCGTGGGGTGCTGCCCCTCTGCCTGCACTCACTCTGGGGCTCCAGCCGGGTGAGGAGGGGCTGGGCCCCGCTCACCGCTGCCGCCGTCAGCGTCCTCACGCCCTTCTCAGCCGCATCGCAGACGGAGCGCACGTAGGGGTGGCTCTCCTTGGTGCAGGTGTAGGCGGAGGACACCATGTCGTAAGCCGAGCTCACCAGGGGCAGGTTGGCCACGCGCGTCCCGATGCTCTGGGGGCCAGAAGGGCTCAGCGTGAGCGTGGGGCTGAGGGACCCCCAAATCTCACGGGGTGTGGCGTGTGTTCCCAACAGCCCGGGGATGGTTTTGGGGCGCTCCCGTGGCTCTCCAAACCCATCGGAGGGCGGGAGAACCCCGATCCCCGTCTCCAAGCAGGGACCCCGTGGGTTGTCCCCAAATCCCCCGCCCTGCCCGCACTCACCTGCTGCTCCTCTGCCTTGGGCTGCGCCGGCGTGGGCTCGCTGGTGGCCATGGTGGGTCTGGGGGCACAGAGGGATCGTGAGCGGGGCCAGGCCCCCCCAGCGCCCCCCTCCTGCCTCTCCTGCCCCACGTTACCGCCCCCGGAACGGGGCAGCTCCCACGCGGTTGGGAAATCCCGGAACAGGGGGGTCCGGGGAACCGGGACCGGGACCACGATCGGGATCACAGGCGGGATCGGGACCGGGATCGCGATCGGGACCGGGATCGCGATCGGGACCGGGAGCGGGACCGGGATTGCCATCGGGAACAGGACGGGGATCGCGATCGGGAACAGGACCAAGATCGCGATCGAAACCGGAATCGGGATCGGAACCGGCACCGGGACCGCGATCGGAACCAGGATCGCGGGCCGGCCCCGGATCGTGCTCACCGCTGGCGGCTGGGGTCGGTCCCGCTCCGCTCGGTTCGGCTCCGGGCTCGCCCCGCTCCTCCCCGCCGCCCTTTATAGCCCGGAGCCCGCCCCGAGCGCATGTGACCGGGGCCGCCCAGCGGGGCCGGCCCGGGGCGGACCGGGAGCAGCGACCGGCGGGGAACGGGAGGGCAGCGAACCCCGGGAACCGCCTGCACCGAGTCCCCGGCACCGATCCGCCGGGACTGGGCTGCACTGAGCCCCCCGGGACCCCCCCATTCCTCGGTCGGTGCTGCACTGACCCCCCCATCCCTCCCCGGTACCGGATCCCCGGGACTGGGCTGCACTGAGCCCCCCGGGACCGGACAGCCCCGGAACCACAGAACCCCCGCCCCTCCGTGGCACCGATCCCCGGGGACAGACCCGCCCCGACCCTTCCAAGCGTCCCCTCCCCTCGCGCGGCTCCCAGGCCCGGGGGTCCCGGTGCTCCCGCACATCTGGCCCTGTGGAGTTGGTCAGGCTGGCCCCGGCGGGACGATGGACGGTCCCGGAGCTCCCGGTGTCGCCCCGCGGGTGCTGTGACCCCGTTGTGCTTGTGACGTCGGGGATACCCCGGGCAGGCCCAGCCCCTCCACGGTGACAAGTGGGACAAAGTTCAGTGCCACACGGCCGCGGGGCACAGTCCAGTCCAGATGTCCTGGCGCCTTGTGGCACCCTCTGTCCCAGTACCCCAGGGAACCCCGTCCCACTGTCCCACCCCGGCACCCCCTTACTGAGCCCCCTCGGGGGTGCCCCCGGCTCTGCCGCCCGTGCAGAGCCCCCCGGGAGCCCGGCCCGGTGGCTCTGCCACAGCACTGCAGGCTCTGAGTCATTTTAAGGCCAAAAAAGTTGTTTTCTTCCTCTTTAAACTGGTTTGAAGCTGTTAAGACACGAAATTCCAGAATTCCTGGGGCTTAGGGCAGCGCTGGATCCCAGACAGGCTCCCGCCGAGTCCTCCACGTGCCACCATCCCCACAGGAGTGGCAATGGGGTCCCACGCTGGGTCACCAGCTCCATCACCCCCTCATTCCCGATGGGATTGGGGTTCACGCCCCTGGGCGGGTGCCCCAGCTCAGCGACACCTCAGTGCCGGCCGCAGAGCTGGGGGGCAGCGGGCACCCGGCGCGTCCCCCCCACGGTGACACAGCCCTCCCACTTGGACATGTCCACCGGGACGTCCTCCGGGTACTCCACCAGCGCGGGGGCGAAGGGCCCCAGGAGCCAGGGCAGGGGCGTGTGCTGCCCCACGTGCTCCAGCAGCCCCTCGAGGCCGAGCTGCGCCCGCGTCACCGCCTCCCTGCTCCGCGCCAGCGCCGGCCCCGACAGCTCCTGCAAGGAGCGGGCGCTGCCCAGGGAGGCCTGGACGCCCTCCACGCCGAGCCGGACGCGTCCCGCCGTCTCCTGCACGCTGCTGGGGAACGCCCGCGCGCCCGCGGCCAGGTGGGAGCAGGCGGCGTGGAGCTGCTGCAGGAGCCCCTGGAGCATGGCCAGAGTGCGAGCCTCCACCTGCGGGGTGGGCAGAGGGCAGCGGGGCTGGGGGGGATGGACCCCAGCCCTGCCTGGATGGAGCCACAGCTGGATGGAGCCACTGCTGGATGGAGCTGCAGCTGGACTCCATGGCTGGATGGAGCCACAGCTGGATGGAGCCACAGCTGGACTCCATGGCTGGATGGAGCCACAGCTGGATGGATCCACAGCTGGATGGAGCCACTGCTGCACTCCATGGCTGGATGGAGCCACAGCTGGATGGATCCACAGCTGGACTCCATAGTTGGATGGAGCCAATGCTGGATGGATCCACAGCTGGATGGACCCACAGCTGGATGGACTCACAATTGGACTCTGTGGCTGCTGCTCCACCCCTGCTCCAGGTGTCCCCACCTCGGGTGTCCCCTTGCCACGTGTCCCCACCTCCAGGGACTCAATGGCTGCTCTCCCCACCCTCTCCAGATGGTGCCATCTGTCCCCCCCGGTCCCTCCAGCCCGTACCTCGCTGTCCTCCATGGGCACCGTGTCCTGCTGGCTCCACTCCAGCCACAGCTGGTGCAGGTGCTCCCGGGCGCTGTGCCAGGGCCCGTCCGTGCCCTGCTGCCCCTCCTCGATCTGGGGGGAGTTTCAGCCAGGTGGGAGCACGCCTGGGGGTGCCCGGGGCCGGCACGGGGCTGGCACGGTCCCTGCCCCGTCCTTACCAGCCGGATGACGTGGTGGAGCTGGCCCAGGAGCCGCTGGGCACGGAGCCGTGCCCGCTGCAGGTCGCCCAGCGAGCGCCGCAGGGCCCGGTGGGGCAGCCTGGCTGACAGGGAGCCCACGCGGACAAAGTAGCTCTGCCACCGCCTCTGCCGCTCCTGCGGGGCCACCTCCGTGCCCATGGTCACCTCCGTGCCCGTGGTCACCTCTGTCCCTGTGATCACCACTGTCCCTGTGGCCACCTCCATGCCCCTGGTAACCTTTGTGCCCATGGTTACCTCCGTGCCCCTGATCACCTCCATGCCCGTGGTCACCTCGGTGCCTCTGGTCATCTCTGTGCCCACGGTCATTTCTGTGCCTGCTGCTGCTGCCGCTGTGGGATCAGGGGTGAGGGCAGCATGGCTGGGCCATCCTGTGCTGGGCACTGGAGCCCAGTGTGAGCACCCACAGGATGCTTGGCCACCAGGTCATGTGGAGATGCCACCCTGAGCGCCAGGTGGCCTCTGCGGTCACCTCAGCTGTGACATGGGGCCAGCTCTGCTAATGTCACCCAGTGCCAAGCTATAAATACCCAGGCGGGCACACGGGACTATATTTGCTCTTGGGTTTCCAGGTGAGAGTTCACCCAGCGCCATCCCGTGTCCTTCAGACAGGGACTGTGCCCTGCCTGGGGTCACGGTGGCCTCACTGGCACCACTGTGGGACCACCACCATGCATAGCCAATGCCAGGGTGACGGTCCCAGGGGGGCTTGGCACTGGGAGGTTTGGGCATGGTGGGCACTCACCCAGCTCCTGGTCCATCCCGGGGAGGTACCGATCCAGCAGCTGCTCTGACTTGCCCAGCACGGTGCCCACGCCCGAGGCCAGCAGCCGCCCCACGCGGGTGCCAACCACGGCCCCGAGCGCCGAGCGCGTCCTCGCTGCCACCCCGCTCACCGTGCCCGACACCAGCGCCCTGGTCCCGGCCACCACCTGCAGGGGACAGCTCAATGACAGCTTGTCCCCGCTGCTCAGCCACCCCAGAGCCCTGCCCGTGCCCCCCGGGTGGCGTTACCCTCTCGGGGGGCTGCTGCAGCATGGGCAGCTTCTCCTCCAGCTTGTCCAGCCCTCTGCAGGCCAACCTGTTGGCGGTGGAAACTGGGGATGTGAAAAGAGGTGAGTTCAGCATCCTGCTGCTTGCAGGAGCTCTGCCAGGGCAGGGTTTGGGGTACCCCAAAACCTGTGGGGTGCTTCCCCTCCAACCCTCCAGCTTGTGCAGCCCTGCATTTATTCATTGCTGATACAAACTGGAGATGTGAAACCAGGTCCTCCCTCTCCGGTTCCTCAGCCAGTTTTGGGGTCCCCCCACCCCTGCACTCACTCTGGGGCTCCAGCCGGGTGAGGAGGGGCTGGGCCCCGCTGGCCGCCGCCGCTGTCAGGGTCCTCAGGCCGTTCTCGGCCGCGCTGCAGACGGAGCCCACGCTCGGGTGCCGCTCCTTGGTGCGCCCGTACGCCGCGGCCACGGCCCCGCAGGCGCAGCTCACCAGGGGCAGGCCGGCCACGCGGCTCACCACGCTCTGAGGGTGGGCGGGGGACAATGACGTGGGGTCCCCAGAGCCACCTGCAGCCCCCCGACCCCTCGGTGCCCCCGTACCTGTGTGTCCGGCCCGGGCTCGGCCGGCACCGCGGCGCTCTCGGCCGACATGGCAGCGGCGGCTGGAGCAAGGAGAGGCAGATTTTGGGGGGAGATTTGGGGGGCCGTGGGTGGGTGAGACTGGTGGGGACCCCCCTGGGGATGACACCCCCAGCACCCCCCAGCCCCTGCTCCCTGAGGGCTGAGAGCCACCAGCTCATTACTGCAGTGAGAGCGGCTGGCGGGTTCTGGGGGGCTTTTGGGGCTTTTTTGAGGGGTCTGAGAGGGGTTTTAGGATGGGGTTGCCCTCCTCCCCTGGCAGGAAACGGGGAGACTGGCTCCCCTCAACTCCTCTTGGGATCCCCACACCCTCTTTGGGCCGGGGAGGGGTTTTTGGGTGATTCAGCGAAGCCAGACGGGACGGGTCTGTCGCAATCCCGCGCTGGGGACTGGGGACGTGCCGCCCGTCACCGCCGCCTCGGCCGGGACAGCCCCGGCAGGGAACCGAGCCCCGGCAGCCCCCCGAGACCCCCGGCAGCCCCCCCGGACCCCCGGCAGCCCCCCCGGACCCCCGGCAGCCCCCCAGGACCCCCGGCAGCCCCTCTGCCCTTTGGGGTCTCCCCCGGCCCGGCCCTGCGCTCTCTGGGGACGAGTTCTGGGGGAATTCGGGGGGCTTTGGGCAGGTCACTGCGGGGACAGCTCCCCTGGGACCCTGCGCTGTTCCCCGGAGTTTCTCGGGGGGTCCCTGGGGTGTTCCGGGGACTTTGGGATCCCCGACCTCGCCCGCACCCCCCGGAGGCCCCCGGGGACCTCCGGACTCCCCCCGGGACCACCCGGAGCCCCCCCCCGGAGCCTTTCGGGAGCCTCCCGGGACGCCCCCGGCCCCGTTTCCCGCCCTCCCGCTCCCGCCAAGCCCCGGGCCCGGTACTCACGGGGTGGGGGTGGGGTTCTGTCGCGACCCCCGGCCGAGATCGCGACCCCGGGCCCCGCCCAGCCCTGACCCGCGGGGAGCGGCGGGAGCCAATCAGAGAAGGGGCGGGGCCGGCTCTCAGCCAATGAGGAGGGATGGGCGTGACCCGGGGGGGCGTGGCCTGGGGCTGGGGCGCGCTCGCCGCGGGGTCCGGGGACAGCGGGGACAGCGGGGACAGCGGGGACAGCGGCGGGGACAGCCCAGCCCGGGCGGTGGGAACGGGTCCCCGGTCACCGCTCACGTGTCCCCCACCGAGGGACCCCGTGGCCGGTGTCCCACCCCCGCCCCAGGTGTCTCCGCCCCCGTTGTCCCCTCCCCCGGTGTCCCCACCGCAGGTGTCCCCTCGCCACGTGTGCCCTCGCCACTTGTTCCCTCCTCAAGGGATTCAATGGCCGCTGTCCCCACCCTCTCCAAGTGTCCCCATGCCAGGTGAACCAACTCCAGGAGACCCGACAGCCGCCAGCCCGGTGTCCCCACGGCAGGTGTCCCCAGCCCTGGTGTCCCCACGCCAAGGGACCCAATGATTGGCGTCCCCAACCCCAAGGAACCCAAAGCCGGCTGTGCCCACGCCACTTCAAGTGTCCCTTTGCCAGATGTGCCCACCCCAGGTGTTCCTGTGCCACCTCAGGGTGCCAGGTGTCCCCAGCCCTTCAGGGCGCTCAAGCCGGGGACAGACAGCCGTGGGTGACGCCCGTGGGTGGCAGCGTGGGGCGAGAGACAGCCGGGAAAAGGGACAGGCAGGGGACACGGGGGGTGTGGGGTGGCACGGGCAGGGACACGGCACTGGCACCGCCTTATCCCCAGGGGGATTCGTGCGGAAATGTGGTGGGGACCCTCATGCGGGGGTGGGTGCGCTGGGTGTGCGGGTGCCCACGGAGCGGGTGCCACCCTGTGCCCCCCCAGCCCTGTGCCCCCCCCCCGGCTCCCGGGGGGGTGAAGAAGGTGCCGAGGCGGCGGCGGGGGCGTCGCCTCCGGTAACCGGGTGTTTATTGGGGCCGCGGGGTACAGCCCGCGGGCGGCCGCATGCATGGCCGCTGGGGGGGGGGCTCCCGCCGCCCCCTGCCCTATTTACAGCCTGCCACCCCCTGGGGACCTGCCACTCCCCCGCGACGCGACACGCCACCCCGGGTGGGTGCCGGGCAGGGGTGGCACCGAAAGGGCACCCTTTGCCAGCAGAGAGTGGGTTCGGTGGGGACCCCCCCGCGGTGCCCCCCACCCCGGCTGTGCTTTCCAGGAGGGGGTGCCGGGGGGGGAAGGATGGGCAACCCCCAGGCTGGCACTGGGAAAGGGCTGACCCCAGACTGGGGGTGCGAGTGTGCCCCATCCCCAGATAACGCCACACTCGGGGGGCCCCCAGCCCCCCGCCCCCAAAACGCTCACCAGGTTCCATCACCACAACCAAAGCCCCCCCGGCCGGGTGTCCCCAGGGGGGTGGCAGCACCCCCGGGTGCCACTGCGGGGCTGGGGGGCACAGCCCGGTGCCCGTGTCCGTCTGTCCATCCTGCTGCCCCCAGGGTGCTGCGGGCTCTGGCTCCGGCCTGGGGAGGGGACACGCCCCGGCACGAGGGACAACAACGCAGCCGGAGCGCAGGGCGCTGCCCCACGCCAGCCGGGGGCACCCCCAAACCCTATCGGGGGCACCCAGGGGGTGCCTGTCCCCCCTCACCCACGCAGCACCTCAGCCCGTGCCCGTCCCTGTCCCCAGCGAGCCGGGTCCCCATCAGTGTCCTGGCCGGGGGACGCGCACAGGTGCCACCCTATTTTCCCGAGGGAGTCCGCTCCACGCCGTAGCGCAGGAGGTGCTGCAGGTCCGTCAGCGGCCGCGGGGTGCCCGGTGCCCGCGCTGCCCGGTGCCCGGTGCCCGTCCCGTGCCGCCCGTAGCCGCCCGCCGCCGCCTCGCCGCTGTTGAACGTGTGGTTCCTCTTGAGGTGGGCGCCGGGGCGGCCCGTGCCGTTGTTGGCGTTGAAGTTCAGCTGCTCGGGGTGCCAGGGCGGCCCCTCGGTAAAGTCTCCCCCGTCCCCGCTGGGTGCCGACACCACCCGCCGGCGCTCGGGGCTGGGGTGCGGCGTCCCCCCGAAGTCGCCGTAGGAGCTGCGGGGCTGGCGGCGGGCACCGGCGGGCGGGTGCTGCCGGGTGCGCGGCCCCTCCTGAGCGTCTCGAGCCCAGTGCCCGTCACCCGAGGAGTCGCTGAGTTCGGCCTCCAGCTCCTGGTCCACCAGGATGGCGTGGCAGGACAGGGGGATGCCCCTCGGGGCGCGGCCGGAGCCGCCGTGCCCCCGCCCGGTGCCCGCGGGGCCGGAGCCGCCTCCAGGGTCCCGCAAGGCCGCGTTGATGATGTTGTGGCTCTGCTCCCAGGTGCAGTTCTGGAGCGCTCCGGGGCAGCGTTTCTGCTGCAGCGGGGTCTGCTCAGGCGTGGGCAGCACCCCCGAGTCCAGGTCGTGCTGGGTGACCTTGCCCAGCTCCTTGGGCCACCCGTTGGGCATGAGCGGGGCCAGCAGCGCTCCCCGTGCCCGCCGCTCGCCCAGGCGGCTGACGCTCACCACCGACTCGCTGTGCGCCAGGATCGTCTCCTTGTCCTTGCGCCGCGCCAGCTCCTTGCGGTCCCGGTGCCCGATGAACCAGCACACGCTGAAACCGGAGATGACGGCGCCGATAACGAAGGCGGCCACCGAGGAGATCACCAGCAGGTTCACCGACACCAGCCCGTCCGGCTCGTCCACGAAGCTCTCCGTCACCAGCCCTGGCGGCGGGGACACGTCAGGGACCCGCGGGCGCCGCCACCGCGGCCCCGAGCCCGGCCCCGGCCCCGGCCCCGCACTCACCCTCGCACTCGCCCAGGTGTGATGTGCTGCCGCCGGCGATGTCCTGCTCGAAGGCCACCCTGGGGGGACAAATTGGAGGGTCAGTGGGTCCCGAACGGCCTGGCAGGGTCTCCCAGCTCCCGTCAGTTGGTTGGGGGCTGCAGGAGCTCTCTGGGGACACCACTGTCCCCCACATGTCCCCAGGCCTGGCAGCGTTACCTGGGGCTGGGCTCCAGGAAGATGCAGGAGCCCTCGGGTGTCCAGCCACAGTAGGGATCCCGGCTGCCCAGGCAGTTCCTGGCAGGGAGCAGAGATGTCAGGGCCAGCCCCGATGAGGGGACACAGCACCCTGGCCCCCGTAAGGGACTGTGTCCCCAGCCTGTGCTGTGCCTCAGTTTCCCCAGGCACGCTCCCAGCCCCCGGCACTCACTTCATGCAGCCCGAGTGCTGCTGGCAGCGAGCCACGGGCACCCTGGCCACGCAGGGGGGGAAGGCCAGCAGCAGGGACCCTGCAGCCTTGTCCAGCTCCAGCCCCAGGAGCCGCCGCTCGTCCTCCGTGTCCCGGCCACACCTGGGGACAGGGCAGAGCTCATCATGGCCCCAGTGCTGGGGGGCCCTCCAAAGCCTGGCCCAGTCCAGAGGAGATTTTCTCATGCATTCCCCCCAGTGTTGCATCCCTCTCCTCATCCACCATCCATCCATCCATCCATCCATCCATCCATCCATCCATCCAACATCCATCCTTCCATCCACCATCCATCCATCCATCCATCCATCCATCCATCCATCCTTCCATCCACCATCCATCCATCCATCCATCCATCCATCCATCCATCCAACATCCATCCTTCCATCCACCATCCATCCATCCATCCATCCATCCATCCATCCATCCTTCCATCCACCATCCATCCATCCATCCATCCATCCATCCATCCATCCATCATCCATCCATCCAAGCACCCACCCACCCCTTTTACTGCCCCTTCCCCTGGCACCCTGGCACTCACCTCCCGGGCTGGTAGGTCTCAAACTCCTCCAGGAAGACGCTCTGGCTGCCGGGGGCAGCGGGCCCAGGGCTGCTGGTGGCGTTGGGCAGGATGAGGAACTTGAGCACGGTGCCGGTGCTGGAGCCCAGGAACACCACGGTGTGGTTGCCCCACGGCCCCGCCGCGTTGTCCACCACGATCTTACGGAGCTGGTACCTGCGTGGGGGAGGGAGCAGTGCTGGGCTGTGGGGGAATCCAGGGGTCCCAGGGAGGGGGAAAGGGTGAAGCCCCCAGCCCCACATCCCCATCTCCATGTCCCCATCCCCAGCCCTGTGTCCCCAGCTCCAGCCCCACATCCCTGTCCCCATTCCCACTCCCCATCCCCAGCTCCCTGTCCCCATTCCTGTCCCCATTCCCTGTCCCCATTCCCTGTCCCTGTCCCCATTCCTGTCCCCATTCCCTGTCCCCATTCCCTGTCCCTGTCCCCATTCCTGTCCCTGTCCCCGTCCCTGCTCACGCCCCGGCTGCCCTGCCGGCGGGAGGCCGCGGCCCAAGAGCGCGGCTTGATTAATTCCCCATCAAGCCGCAATTAAGGCAGATTTAATTAGGACGAGACAATCTTGACTGCAAAGTGTATGAGATTTATCAGCTCTTCCAGCGCTCCCAGCGCTGACACAAGCATGGAAAGGCAGCACGGGAGGCTCTGGCCAGCCCCTTCCAGCCCCTTCCAGCCCTCCCAGTGTCCCCAAGCCCCTCGGGCACCCACCGGGTCATGGTGCGGAGGATCCAGGGGGCGTTGCCCAGGGCCGGCACCGCCTCGTCCATCAACGGGTGCGTCTTGACGAAGTTGAGGATCTCGTCGGGGAAGGCGCTGGAGGAGTTGTAGCGCATCCCCGGGGACGCGCAGCAGCCGGGCCTGCGGCCAGGGCACGGCTCAGTGGCGCTGTCCCCAGCCCCGCTGGTACTGGCCGTGGTTGTCATCACCCCTGTCCCCATCCCTGTCCCCTTCCCAGCTGGTATTTGCCATGGTTGTCATCACCCCTGTCCCCATCCCAGCAGGTACTGACCGTGGTTGTCATCCCCATCTCCATGTCCCCATCCCTGTCCCCATCCCACTAGAATGGCTGCCACTGTCTCTGTCCCCATCCCCGTCCCTTTCCCCATCCCTGTTCCTTTCCCCAATCCCACCTCTGTCCCTGCCACTGACAGTCCTTGCCAGCTCTGTCCCCAGCCCTGTCCCTCACCGTGG